ATATTTCCTCAGAAAATACTGTACTGTAACTTGGTATTGTTTACTTGTACAGAATATAACAGAGAATAAACTGCCCAAATACCCTTAAACAAAGGAAAAGTACGTCCTTTATGAAGGCATAGAGCCACTACATGAAAATGAAAATTAATGAATACACTGTGTACAGTAATTTACCTGATAAGACAGACCTCAGAAAAATACTTTATGAGAGCTTTTATACTTTTATAAAGCTGTCTATAATGAAAATTAATTAACTAAGGATTTTTTCGCCCTGCCAAGGTGTGGACCAGTTATCCGGAGTGCTAAGTTATCGAGGGACGAGGTTCTACTGTATTATAAAACTTTCTTACACTTTATTAGATGTAAGTGATTAAAAATTCTTCTTTTAATAAGATTTTTTAGTAATTAATGATTATTAATTATTGTCAGTATTAATTTTTATGATTAATTTAGTATAAATAATATTTTTATAATTTATATTTCAATTGATTAAATAATATTTGTAATAAAACACGGTAAGATAAGAATATTTTCATACAATTTCGTTAGTTTGAAGATAAAAATGCGCATTTATTTTGTCAGAGTAGTGCGCACTCTTACATCATTTTGATCTCATTGTTCTTGTGGTATGGTCGAATTTTGACGTCACTTATGCTTTTTTTATAACAAGGAAGCGTAAGATGATGTCAGAGTGACGTAACATTTTTCTCGCCGAAGGAAGTAAGTCTAAAATTATGAAAAAGTCAGTTTTGCAGCATTAAATTGTCGATTTTATAACCAGGCTCTGATCAATCATTTTATATTGATCATTTATTGCTACTAGTTTATAATAAATGTTAATATTTGTAGCGTAAGCCTACATATTAACAAACTAAAATTATCGTCGATTTCAATATTCGCCTTTAAAATGTATGTTCAAGCATCTTCAATATTAAATTTGATCAAATGAACATCAAACGAATTTCAAATTTCGTGCAATTTCGTTTGAAAATACGAAGCTAAGATAAATAAAATTGTTTATAATTTTACGAAATATTTAAACGTAATATGCATACTAAATACATTAATAATATATATGTATATATTTTAATTTAAAATGATTTAATAATTTAATACATTTTAATATAATGTATATTATTTCGAAATTAAATCATCGGTTCACTTATTTTATTATAGATTAAAGTTCAAATACTTAACTTTAACTATAAATAAAACATTTTATTAAGTTGTAATGTAACATTTATTTATAAAATTATGAAAATATTGAGATGATAATTAATATACTAAAAAAGTATTGAGGTTAAAATGCCAATGATGATTTTTCAATGATAAACTTAGAAACTTTAGTATGAAAATAACATGATTTCCGGCTGAGTTGGCTGAGGGTTAAATAAATCCGGAAGCAACGTAATCATTTACGCTTCCGGTTATGATTAGTCCCGAATATTTTTATATTGTTTGAGTCCGTTAATCATATTAATAATTATAAAAATCTAACACAAGTATATTAATATCTTTTAAAATATATTCTACAAAACGTAACACATTTTAAATTATAATTATTTAAATTACATTACGTTGATAACTTTAGAAAATAAATAAATAATCTTCGTAACTCATAATTATAACTTTATGTATTTTACTTTCGTAAAATATTCATTTAAGTTCTTTATGAATTGGTGAATTCACACGAAAGCTTCTTCTTCTTACTGTTTCATATGAAGATGCTCGAAAGCTTAAGAAGTCGATCATTTATAAACTCCAATACTTTATTATATGATGCATTTATTGACGTCTTAAAGTAACTATTTATTAATAAATTATTCTCAAGTAATTAGTTATAGAATAAATGTTTTTATCCCAGTACTTAATGAAAAATTATTNTGTTTTTTTTAACTAAACTGACCTGCGGTGTATATATTTAAAGTATATATATTACATAGTGTAAAGCTAATTGAATTAAGTCGGAAAGTGTTAGTTCTTTCAGCAAACTGCCACACTTCGAACTGGCTTGTCTGTAGAAATGCCTGTCAAGGTGACAACACATCTGATTTCTGGCATCGCCTGCCAGTGCAATGTCTTTCTTATTCCCCTTATATGGCCGGGTATCGTATTGGATTCTGGGTTTATTTCGAGCATGCACTCCTTACAGATATGCTCGGTTTTTCTCTTCGCTAACCATGACGTAACGGAAATAAGAGGATCCATTCTTTACAACAGGGGTTAGGGAACAATTTTACGGCACTTATAGGATCATCCCATTTACTAAATATAAATTAGAAGGTAGCGGTAAATAGAAAATCCAAATATCCTTGTCGAAGCGAGAAGGGGTGATAAAGAGGGATGGAAACCATGGAACGACTAATGCCATCGATGTACTCTTGTCCCCTATATAGCTTCTGTAGAGAGTAAGGTGTATTTCGGAAACATATTCAGTACTTCTTTCTTTCCCCACGGTGGTATCCACAATGGCCTTCTTTGGGATCAAATCTTTGGATAGTCGCAGACTTATTATTATATTTCTATTTATTCTTCGATTTCATGGCCATTCAGCACAAGGTGAGTCGTATGGTCAAGGTCGAGTCAAAGTGAATGGTCCCAACCTTTAACATTAGACTCTTAATTTATTAATTTCCCTTTTTACATTTGATTAATCATACTAAATTAGATGAACAATTTAATCAGTAAGCAATTGTAGAAGTGATTCGTGCAAAGATAATCGAGAGATAATCGTTCAATTGAACATTGTTTCACAGGTGAAATTCATTGTTAGTTTTAACAATGGTTTGTCTTTTCTGAAGTCACGCAGACAAAGATTGATGATGGGTAATTGACAGAAAAACTGCAATTTTTCAACATTTAAGTTTTTTTTTCTTTTTACAGTTTAGATTTTGAAATATTTTCCACATTATATTATAGATATATGAATTAGCTTTGTAGGGAAGAATAGTTACAGTTCTATTGCCCTTCTTCCACTTTAGATTCTTAACTCATTAGAACATTTGCATGAATTTAAGTTAATTGTTGCAATTTGAAAACTGATCTCAATAAAACGTAATTTATTAAGCGATATTTTATATTGATGATTTCATTACCGATCACTGAACATTGTTAATACCAGACACAACATGTCACAAATTACGTCACAGTATTGAATTGTTTGGCGTATTTCCAAATGTTTCTTACATCCAGAGAGATGCTTTTAACCTATTAACACAAGGCTAGTTAAAATGGCAACATTTGATGCCAAATGCCCCTAAAGGTAGTAAATTCAAAAATTTTCTCTTCTAGATCAAGTTTAAATATTTCTACCATGAGTACGTTTATCCTTTTTTTAAATTAATGCCGTAATAAGCTATTTACGGTTTTGCAACCCCATTAAAGTCTATTAGCAACACAAAAAATGTACTTAAATTACTTAACTACAATATTACTTTGATGAATTTACAACTCAAACAATTACGATTTTGATTGCAAAAATTATGTAACTACGAATTGCATTATGAAATTTCTAAAAAAATTCATGAATAAATCATCAGTTATTCAAAAAAATATTCAAATTAATTTTATTAGCATATAATAAGCAACGTTCTTTATGTACGGTACAAATACATAATGCAATTTTTAAATAAGTAAAATTTTAAATTAACCAATAGAAATATACTTAATTATTTAAAATATAATTAAGTATTTTTATTTATAATTTAATAAAATTATACACAATTAAAATACAAAGTTTCCGAAATATTTTAATCGTGTTATTTTCAAAGGTTGTGCTAACACGGCAACTGTTGAATCGTTGCTAAATTCGTCTCTCGTTTTATTTTTAACACTCCATGCATTATTAAATGACACGGTAACCGTCAGTCCTTGAAACTGCTAAGCAAAATGTCCCGCCGAAGGAACAAGCTTCCTCATCTCTCCTTCCTTCTGTTGATAAACTTTATATCCATGCGTCATCGTATTGACGTCGTAATGACGCATGAAAAGATCTAATGAATAATATCAACTCTAACAATAGTAATTAGGGGAGAGAAAAACGTTAAAGCTACGACCGATAATAATAATTTATTGCTTTAATTAAATTTAAATATAAGTTTTTAGACTTTTAGGTTATTGGATAGATTTATTAAAACTATATTTATGTTCTCGAAGATGATTCAAAGCAATATATTAAATGGAAGGTATCATTTTTATGAACGATAAAGTATGTAAAAAATCGAGAAAAACGGCTAAAAAAGAATAAAACACTTAATTTCAAGTAGACTTTAAGTGAATTTGTGAAGAAGCCACGAGTATTTGTTTTCTTTTCAAGAAAACTTCCGCAGGAATTGCCGTCGTAAGCATATTTACGTAATACTAAACTACGCTTCGACTTCGTCACATTTCTTAATAAAACGAAAGGTCGCCATTTTGAAAATTTTCATTGAAAATAAAAATCTTGTTAAATAAAATATACGAGTAAGCCAATTTGTATATTTTATTACAGTTCGTTTAATTTTATAACTTAAAAAAATAATAATAATAATATAATTCGTAAATTTTACTTAAATAGTTTTTGCATAAATTAAACTAATTTAATGAAAGTTTGTCAGTTTATTTGAACTTGTCTTTGCCAGAGATTTCTTTCTAGTTTATTTTGTTCCAAGTCATTTGGACTTCATACAAGTTTCCTGGTGTGGTGTGGTACGG